ACAATACAAAATAATGTTATGCTTGTTGGCGCTGGCAACACTGTATACCGGATATGACGTTATCTACTCTAGCGAAGGGACACATGGTCGCATGGAGCAGTGGTCACTTGGATTTTGGCTGCGTTCTCGGACGGTGATATAACCACTAGTGCTGCTTGTCGTTATAAAAGTTATTAATATTCAAGTTCACTAATAGTTAAAATATTAGGATCAAGGTAAAAACTTTAGAACTCTTATATGCTACAGTAAGGGCAATGTTTTTAAAGAAAAAAAGGAAAAACATTAACAATTAGCGCTCAGGAGGAAACTGTCACCGCCTATTACTTGGACCGCTGCGGCGATGACATTATTATCACCGTAGGCCTCCCTCCTCGGCCCAACGTCTATCAACCCAAAAGGACTTAACACCCACACGGGCTTTCCAACTTTATTTAAGGGAATTTTGGACGCATTCGAAATCGGTAGCGGGATTAATAAAAAAAAATAAAAGCTACTTTAATGTCGTTGTCATCCTGTTTCTTAGTGCCGAAGACAAATTCAGGGGCAAAAAATAAAAATGCCACTGAGATATTTCTACCTCGTTGCGTTTTTGTTTTTTTGCATAATTACATTTGACGTTTTTTATTGGGGTAAAAGCAGTGGTTAATAAACTGCTTAAACGTCGCTCGCCATTTGTGTTTGGTTCTTTGAATAATACTTAACACGACAAGTCCATTTATCAGATTAGAAACTAGAAAATATTATTAAAACCTTCCTATTCTGTGAAAGTGTTTCCTTCTTGAGATTTTCCATTTCAATTTATGAATTCAAACCTGACTAATCCATAGATCTATAGAAAAAACTCAATCTAGATATATACAGCTTTCATCTAATTCAATAGTTAAAACTTCAACGTCATCATCTGACCACATCATCACTTTTTTGAACTCTACTCATTATTAATTCCATTCATTCAATATTATTTACATTTATCCTCCTTAACAACGCAGATTGTAAATAGATAAGCCAAAATATGAGGAATTCGAAAATACTTGTCTGGGATAGTCGTTTATCACTTTATCAAGCCGATTTCTTTCAACTATAAAATAACTCATAACGCGTTCAGTAACACAAAAAATCATATTATGTTTCAAAAGACCTTACAGCCATACGATAAACACTCACTGCCGATTTATGGTTATATTAACTAAAATTGTATTTGTTGTGTTTGATTTGATTGTGTGTATTATTAAATACTCACTTTTAATTCATAGTTGATTTATTTAATAAATAAATATTTTTACCTTTATGAAACAAACGGAGATACCAATGCATTGTTATATAAAAATTTGAAAACTCTGGGAGATTTGCGAATTGGAATCAATTAACTTGCCACTTATGTTTATAAAGACTAGAATTTTTAATTTGTATTGGAAATGTAAATTTTATTATTTAAAAAAGAAACAATAAAAAATATTCGTCATAAAATTTAATACTTAAATATAAATAAAAAATGAATTGTTCAAATTTCTAAAACGAATTCACAAACAATTGCATGCCATTAATACTGTTGGCACGCCATATGGGACACTGTTCGACGTTTTCTCACCTATATCAGACGTCGAAAAATTTTATCGTTTTAAACAAAAATTGAAATACATTTGTAACGGCGCTCTCAACAAATGGGGGGTCTAGCGGGGCGAGCGCCAAATAATCCCAAAAAAATCGTTTAAATCGAGTCAAACGTATTCGGCTGTGCTGAATGGGCGCCCGAGGCCCGAACGTAGTCGAAATTAATTAAGTTTCCCATAGAGCGCGGCCAAATAAGGAGGGAAAATAAGATCGGACCAAAGTGGGAATTTTTATAAAGCTAGGTCACGTAAACATTGATGGCCAGAAACAATCCCACCCACCGCGTGTCCGTTGCCCGGGGAGAATAAAAGGGAATGGCGCCCCGTCCTATTTATTTGTTTTTATGTCCAACTTGTCGGACGCCATCTTAAGTTTATAGGCTTACCTAGAGGAAATACGTAGTTTATTGGTGGCGTTCAGCGAACGGATAACGTTGTACTCAATAACAATGTGTTCGCGTCGAAACTTTTCGCCGGGGAATTGTAGCTGCATTCGTGTGAATGATAACACATTTCCATTTTGGAAAAACTTGTGCTATGGATGTAACGCGTAGCAGTGCTATATAGTTAAGGTAAAACAAACCCGTTGCAGGCGAACCCAAAAAGGACTCAAACTATTAATATACAGCAAAAGGCGTCAACAATCAATTAGGCGGCAATACTTTTGCACCAAAGTACGCGTTAATAAACGAGAAAATTTAAAACGGTGGCCTAACGAAATCGAACATTTCAAAAGCGAAAATTTCAAAGTAATATTTTTTTAAACAACTTTGAACAGATATTCTCAATGTGCGAAATTTCAATAAATTATGCTTAATTGCTTTTAATCACTTGTTTAATGATAAATAAGTGATCATAAGCATAACTGATAAGTCAGCAACTTAGGTTACGAATAAGGTTAAAACATTACTCTCTCCGCTAATGTAACAAAACACCCCGACGCGTCAAATCTCTCGCCGAATTAATGTCGCCAGTAATCGTAAGTGAGTGTGACAAACGAGTCATGCGAGCCGGCCAGGCTGTGACGTTACAGAAGTAGTTATTGCGCTACGCGGCGCGTCACTAATGATCTTTGACTGATCCTTCTTCCGGTTCCCCCCATTCCTACTGCATTGGGTGCTCATAAGTAATGTGCCTGATTAAATAATTCCGTAATGTCAATTATAAACTGATGAAACACGTGTATTATACATACAATGATGATGCATTATGGTTAATGGTCACTTATGGTTTTAACAGCCTTGTATAGTAGTAGTTCTACAATTATTAAGGTATTTTGTTACTCTTTATTAATGTATAAAATGCTGAAGGTTAATTCAATTTTTACAGAGAATTTGTAACAGTTTTTTGAAGTTTCCACAACTCTACATTTTGTCGGCGACAAAAATTAAGCGCGGAAAAAAAGCTTAATCTGATTACACCCGGATGCGTGCCGTTTCATCAAAGAAAGGAGTCGAATTAGTATGCAATCTACATTTGCCCTTGTGCCCTTACAACTTTAACTCGGATCGCACCACTCCGCTGCCGTGCATCCGGCGCTAGGCTCGCTCCCTAATTATCATTCCGTTGTATAATATAACCGTTAAAACCCGGCAGAATTCGATAGCGTTAAAAACTGGCATTTGCAAAAGGCATTACTGGAGGAAGAAAACGCTTCGTTTACACTCAAAATAATGGCAGAGTCGCTACGCACTGTGATTTAAAAAAAAAAGGATTCGAAATGCGAACTACGACTGGGGGAGCAACAGTTAGCTCTCACTTCACTCGATTGCTACTTTACAGGCTTGTTAGCATTTTTCGAGTTCGTTTTATCTTCGTTATTAACACTTTAAAGGAATTAATTGCAGTTAACTAGTTGGCTGTTCGATCGATGAATAGTTAAAGCAGCTTCAATTTGAATGTTAACTATTATTTAAGTTGTTATTTTTATAACCATGAAATGTTTATCTTGTGTCTTATCTAAAAAAACCTGAAGTACTTACGTAAAAAGCTTTAGTATGAGTAAGAAAGAAAAAAAAGGAGGTATTAATAAAATTTGCAACAAAAACGTTTTTTTAATTGAATTTAAGGTATTTATTAAAAGGTAAATAGAAAGCACTATTTTGTTCTTATTCTTGAAATTTATTTATGTAAAGCACTAAGAACACAGACATTTACTATCTTAATATATAATATACATGTATTAAGGTAGTAACTTAACTTTAATTAACAAAAAAACAACCACCATCAAACTTATTCTAGCCCCTAATTAAATAATAAAGTATATCAGAAAAGTGAGGGAGTGTTTGCACCGTTATAAACGACTAACTGCTACCCGCGACTACGTCTGCGTAGAATAGGCTGAATGCGTAAAATTCAGACAGAAAGACAGATATACATTTTTTTAAGCGAAATTTTGTCAAACAAGCAGACGGTTCACCTGATGTTAAGTGAATACCGCCGCCCATGGACATCTGCCACAGTCGAGGGTTACAGATGCGTTGACAAGCTTTTGAAAATTGGGCTCCGGCTATCTCACTCACCTGATGAAACGCGAAAGTAATTGTCATGCTTCCACTTTACGCTGGTCTTCTGTGAGGTCGTGGTACTTACCCGGACGGGCCTGCCCATTCGTGCAACAGCCGAGGCTGCTGCGTGGCCCTACCACCGTTAAAATATAATATATACATAAAAATATGACTATGATTATATACATAAAAATATGTATATAAATTATAGCCTAGGTCCTATTTTGATGTATAAGCTACATTATTGTAAAGTTTCATTAGAATCCATTCATATTTGCGTGAAAAAATAACAAACATCCATTCATACATACGTTTATAATATTAGTAAGGACATTTATCCTATGACACCATAAAATCTAATATTACAATTATGTGTGAATCTCTCCTTAACCATAACGGTCCTGTATATTGTAACTATCGAATTAAGCAAATCCAATTTTTATAGTGCTAATCTCTCTGCACTTAAGATTAAACATTAAATTGAAACACTTAAAAAAAACAATGTAGATAAAAGTCGTTGAGATTTTCGTCGGTGTGGCAATCAGCCGTGTTTAGCTTAGTGGCTAAAGCGTCAGGACGCGAACCCTGAAGACGTGGGTTCGATTCCCACAGTGGCGAAATCACAACACAAATTTTAATCAGCAAAACCATTCGTCGAACTGTATAATGTGTTTTAAGATAGCTCGGAGGTTTGACAAACTGCACCATCGATCGCAGGCAAAGAATGCCGAACCACGCATCCGGGCGTCTAACAATAGCATTTCGGCACACTATCGCGGCCCGAAAGCAAACACAAAAGGGCAAACGCGCACGTGAAATCTCGCATCGTTATTTTTGATGGCGCCCCGTTGAGCCCGCGAGACAGTCGCCAGCAGCGCGTTTAAATATGGGAATGGAGACGGCGTTTCGTGTAAACAAAAACCCAGTTTCGTAGCACGGACCGGCGCGCGTCACGCATGACGGGGCCGCCGAGCGCTCGGAAGGCTTTAATGTTCCCATTCACGCGCCGGTGGCCGCCCGCGAGCGAAGCCCGGCCGCTTTCGGACGGCACGTGAATGGCCGGCTTTATTCTTGGCCAAGGCGTGGAATGGTTGACGCTTCCTTTGTGACAGTGGACCCTCATGTTCATATGACTTAAATTACTTTGATACTGGCAGTCGCATCGCACTTTTAACTATACGCTTCAGAATAGGAAAGATCCTACAGTTTGGCATGAATCGATAATTTATTTATAACAAAAAAGTTTCAATTAATTAGGAGATTAAGGTATTAAGAAAATTGTTTGTAAAGTACCGTAATATTCTTCATAAGATATTTTTTAATATTTCCCATTTTCCGTCTTCATATTGTGCAAAAATAAAAATCATCCTCAGTTATAATGAGGAGGACCAATAATTAAATGGGGCTCCTTTTCGGGGAAGAGGAAGCTGGCGAAAGCTTTAACGTAATATAGAGTTGCCGAGCAACGTATCAGACCTGATAATCGCCTCCAAGCCTCTTGAAATGTTTTAATGAAGCGTACCATAGAGGTTTTTATATTTTAATCGAGCCTTACACGAAAAGCACTGATACCGTATCCTGTGGAGTTGAAAAAAGAAAAAGAGAAACGCCGAAAAGCTCTAAAAGAAAGGAAGACATCTAAAAAGTTTAAAAAGAAAAGAAAAACAATCACGGCTCGACGCAAAAGAAACAAGGGTAATAACAGCGATAAAAATGCTAGGCGACTCCATCCGAAAGACCGTTACAGAAGTTAAGCGATCTGTAGCAATATCCGAACGTCGGTTACGCCAAATTTCAATACTGGCCATTAACATAAAAAGGAAACAATAACCGTTTAAAATTCGAACAGTCGCTGCCTTTTTTTGTCGCTTCGAAATCGGAATCTGCGAGCGGGGAACGGGAAACTCAAATTCGAATTACTGCGGACGACGTGCCGGCCTCGGGAGATTGTAATTAGCCGCTAATGAGAGCAAGAATACGTCAGCTTTTTATGTTAATGATGAGGTGAAAAATGAACAACGGGTTTACCCGATGCTTAATGATCTTCCTCCCATAGATATTTGCAACAACGTAGTAGAATTACTAATTGAAGATTCCTACTTCCGAGATTACTTCTGGCGACAACTGATCTGTTAACTGAGAATTTATCACAATGTCTTCAGTACCCGTTCCTCGCTGTACTCAGTATGTCTGCGGGTCGTCATAAAGCCGGCGACCTTCTCGCGTAGCAATAAAACCTTCGTAATTACCTTTTTTATCGCGATATCCCACGGCATCGTTGCCGCTGGGTGTTAAGGGCACCTTGTATTCCCTTTGTTTTCCGTGGTTTTATGTCCCTGCCGCAGCTATTTACACGTACCTGGACCTCGGTATACATCCATTATCGAAGAGGCGAAGCAATCAAATTATCCTAAAGTTGCTCTGTTAAGTGTTCGCCGAAACGGAATATACGTGACAAGTGGTAGTAATGCTGTGGGTGCCCTTTTTGGCCGGTAAATGTTATTACATCAAATATTAAGGAGCTTTTACACCATTTTTGGGCCCTGTCTCCATTTAAGATAACAATAGGTGAGGACGAATTATACGAAAGTGTTCGTAATTCACTATTACCTACTACAATAACGTTAAGTACATACGGCCTCCTACGGAACTATTACGTTACTTCAATTTTTATTTTCAACTTTAATTGTGAAATAACCAATAAGCACCATTTTAGACAATTACCAAGAACCAGAAAAATATATAGCAGGCCGACTGTGTGTAGTCTTTAAGAACACCCATTGAATAAATACCTCAAATATAAATTTATTTATATTTATTACCTAAAATCATATAAAATAATTGTATTCATATTTTAATATGACTAAGAAAATAAATAATATTAAATGCAGCAGCTGATGGGCACATGGGATCAGGATCTGGGTACATTGACGGACTTTTTTTTTAATTCAAAACTGGCCTGCACTTGACTGCCATCGCACCTGATGGTAAGTGGCGATTCAGCCGTTGATGGTAAGCGTGCTAGCTCAGTAGAAACCTATTCACTCTTGCCTTGAAGACGCCAACGTTGTAATCGGAATGCGACTTCTTCGGATCTTCAATTTTTTTTTGTTATTAGTTCGAAAATATGCAGATGTTATCCTTCACCGCTAACATGATAAGTCAGCACTTAAAACTAAGAATTTCATTGGTGCCGGCACCGGAGATCGAACTCAGGTTGCTCGAGTATTTTGCAAACGCCTGGACAATGCCATCACGCCTAGTAAAAACAGTAAGTAGGAACTGAAAACCATAGACTGATCTTCGTAAATTAATTTCGTAATCCACGTGGATTGTAAATAAGTATTTACATATTACGTTGTTCAAAGGTCATTACCATTGGCATCTTCCAATATATATTTAAGGAAGAACGTAACAATTCATATTGCTTTCTTTTTAATTATAATATAAAAATGATAGTGAAGCAATAAGGTATTACGAAGTGCCGCCGAAGAGTTTTCAAAAGGCACTCCGATCTAAATGGCCGCGCGGAAATTCACCCGTTACTTCGACAGGGTCCACACTCCGCTCCACCTATTTGCGAAGTAGAACTTTTGCCAATTAAGAGGCGACCCACCCTACGATAACGACTTTATAACTCCTCGCCGAGTTGTCTCCGACTAATCGTGACACATCGGAAATATTTTCAAGTCTCATTGTTATTGGTAGTACGTTCGCGTTTCTTTATAAAGGCATTAATACGATGTTTACTAGGGGATGGTGTTTCAAGCTCTTTTAGTTTGAACTGTAGAATTTTAATCTTAGAAGCAGGCAACTGTATTTCACGGCCGAGGTCACGCATTATCTCTATAAATTCATGAATTAGGAGTTATAGTATAAGAAATCTCCTTGGCCCATAGTAGTTTCTTTGATTCAACTGTCGAGACTGTAGTAAGTGAACATATAATTTATCTTAATATTAAAGTAACGGGATTTTAACAATGTGCTAATATCTGCACTTAAGATTTAATATTAACATTTCGTTGGTGGGGCAACGGTGGTAGAGCCACGCAACACTGTTGCACGAATGGGCAGGTCAGTCCGGGTTAGTACCACGACCTCACAGAAGACTGGCGTAAAGTAGAAGTGTTACACTTCTGCGTTTCGTCTGGTGAGTGAGGTAGCCGGGGCGCACTTTATCAGCCGTTAATAAAAAAAATTATAAAAAAAATCAGCCATTTAGCTTAGTGGATAAAGCGTCAGGTCGCGAGTGCCGAATACGTGGGTTCGATTCCCACAGCGGCGACAATCTTTTCGTAAGTTTTCTACAAATTTTAATGTTTAAAGACGTTATGGTGTTATAAAATCAATAGAACACCCAGACTTGAACATCCATGACAAGTAGGACTATCACTAGCCAATAACTATGCCTTCATTATTGCACTACGCAATTCATCATAATCTAAAGGTTTTATAAAAACTCGTTTACAGATCTTAAAGCATTTAATTTTGGTTCTAAACTTCGATATTCACAAATATTTTACAACACTCATGGTGTGAAGCAGGGTGATCTTTAAATTTGTTTACTTTGGCCGAACCGCGCAATAACTGTTTACTGCATCGTATAGTGATATAGTGGTAGTGTTACCGCGTAAATTCCAAAATAAGACAAACGTAAAACCCTTTGACGAAACGGATATAAGGATTTCGCTCAGACTACATGACGGAGTATTTAACATTCAGGCCCCGTTGATTTTTGCACCATTAAAATTCGCAGCGCAACAAAACAGAAACGGCCCACCCGTAAAGTGTCTGCGTAACAAACGTTAATATCCATCGATGCGGATAAAAAAGGGATTTTTGCCGAAGCGCTCATTAAGCGACGAAAATGAAAAGCATTTCACCGCGCCGTTCATCCATACCCCAATAATCGGGGCATACGTATTTCACTAATGACGTCCTCATGCCTTGAAATGACTACGGGGGATTTATCGATATTGCATAGCTGGAGATGTTTGCATACGATTGCCAGGCAATATCTTCCTCCGATGGGCAGGCTTCAGAGAAGTATCACGACCACAGAAGACTATAATGATGTGAAAGTATTCGCGTTATATGCGTATATTTTTGCATTGAAGCATTTGAAGAAATGCTTGCCGCATTCATTGTTATGTCCTTTCCGGCGTACAAATAATTTCTAATATCGTTTTACAACGATAATTCGAAACAGTGATGTAGCCGTTGCTTTTTAGAAATTTAAATAATTATAGTGCTAATCTCTAAACTTAATATAAATCATTAAAATTTGTACAAAAAAAGGAGTGAAAAGGTTTTCGCCGGTGTGGGAAGCGAACCCACATCTTCGGGGTTCGCGCCCTGACGCTCTAGCCACTATGCGCTAAACGGCCGATTGTCACACCTACGAAATTCTCTAAGTCCTTTAATCTACATTGTGTTTTAGCATTTCAGATCAGCCGTTTCTGCTAATCAATCTGCGATTGAATTAAAGTGGATTAGTGTTATTGGTGAATAATTTTAAATCACCGAAATTTTTGCCCGAAATGGCACTTTTTTATATAGCCAGCCGTTTTACGAACATCAGTTAATGGATAATTTATTGCCAATATACTTACAGGAAAATGTTTTCCGTAGCCGATTTTGCCCCGTCGTCGGTATATTTAATATGAAAAAATATCACAAACCGATAAAAGCGCCGGAGGAAATAATTAAGAAGTGACTGTTTTGTACTTTTGCAAAGATAAAACATGGTTATTATTTTGTTAGCTAATTACAATTGTTTTAATCATCTTGATTTGATTTACAAAATATAATCAATCTAAACAAATTTTGTTTATTCAAAATTATAAACTTAAATTTATATGTCCAATTTACAAACAAACGGAACGTGTTATTTTCAAAAGTTAAAAAGAATCGGAAATAGTTGTATGGTGACCCCATATAAATATTTGTTTATTCTGTTTTTTAGTATTTGTTGTTATAGCGGCAACAGAAATACATGATGTGTTAAAATTTTTGCTGTCTAACTATCACGGTTCAGGAAGTACAGCCTGGTGACAGACGGACAGACAGACAGCGGATTCTTAGTAATAGGGCGGGACCCTACCCTTTGGGTATGGAACCCAAAAAATT